CCATGGGGCTGTTGCTGGACCTGTCCCTTTGACCTGTAACCTGGGGGCTGCCGGTCCCTTGGACCTGTATCTGGGGCTGGGTCCCTTGACCTGTATCTGGGGCTGTCTTCTGACCTGTCCTTCGGGCTGTCCCTTGACCTGTAATCTGGGGCTTTCCTTGACCTGTCCCTGGGCTGATCCCTGACCTGTCCCTGGGGCTGTCCTGACCTGCTCCTGGGCTTTCCTGGCTGTCCTTGCGGCGGTCCCTTGACCTGGGTATCTGCGGGCGTGTCCTTGACCTTATCTGGGGCTGTTCCTGACCTGTCCTTGGGCTGTCCCTTGACCTGTACCTGGGCTGTCCCTTTGACCTGTACCTGGGCCTGTCCTTGACCTGTCCCTGGGGCTGTCCCTGGACTGTACCTTGGGCTTCCGTTGACCTTACCTGGGGCTCCCTTGGACCCTGCTCCCTGGCTGTCCCTTGGACCTGTACCTCGGGGCTGTCCCGTTACCTGTACCTGGGCTTCCCTGACCTGTCCTGGGCTGCTCCCGTTGACCTGTACCTGCGGGGCTGTCCCTTGACCCTGTACCTGGGGCGTGTCCCTTGACCGTACCTGACTTGTCCTTGGCGACCTTCTTGCTGTGGTGTTCCTGGACTTGTCCTTGGGGCTGCTCCTGACCTGTACCTGGGTTGTTTCCTGGACATTTCCCTGGACTGTTACCTGGGGCTGTCCTTTTTGCGAACCTGTCCTGGATGTGTTTCTGGGCGGCTGTTCCTGCGACATTCCCTTGACCTGTCCTCCTTGCTGTCCTTGACCTGTACCTGTCCCTGGACCCATCCCTTGGGCTGTCCTGGACCTGTCCTGCGACCCATCCCTGGGCTGTCCTGACCTGTACTTGGGGACTGACCCTGGACGTGTCCCTTGACCCATCCCTGGGGCTGGTCCCTTGAGCTGTTTCCTGGGCTGTCCTGGACTGCTCCTTGACCCAATCGCCTGCGGGCTGCTCCTGGGCTGTCCCTGACCTGTACTTGGGCGGTGTTCGCACTGGACAGTCCGCTTGACCTGTACCTTGTACCTGTCCCTGACTTGTTCCCCCTGGACCTGTTCCTTTGACTTGTCCCTGGACCTGTCCCTTGACCTGTCCCTGGACCCCTCCCTGGACCGGGGCAGCCAGGTTTCCCAGCCCCTCAGGGCTCCCTGCAGGTGAGGCTGGGTTCTTGGCAGCCCAGGTGCCCTGTCCCTGACCTGGGCTCCTCACCTGCTCTGCCCACGGCCCCAGAGCACCTGCCTGATGGTTGTGGCTGGGGGGGTGGGGGCTCTCCCCCTCTGTGGCCAGGTCCTGGGCTGGCCGTAGCTGTTCCTGAGGCTGTCCTGCCGCGTTCTGCAGAACCTCCGGGCCCAGGAGCACCGTGCTCCTTCCAGAGACACCTGGCTGTAACCTCGCACACCCTGAGGCAGTTTTCCCCAGCCTGGGGTGACTTTCTTGCCCCTGTTGGGAGAGGACCGTGGAGCCTGCCTGTGCCGGCCCATCCTCCTGGGCTTCACTCCAGGGGCTCTGGGCCGCTGGGGTGCTAGGGGCGGGGTGCTGGTGAGCCCGGGGGTCAAGAGGGCTGCGCTCCTGGGCCCTCCCCGCCCGTCCAGCCTCTGCCTCCATGGACGGAGCTGTAGGAGGTGGGTGGGTGACCTCTGCCCCTGAAGGAAGCGGCTTTTCCCACTCAATGCCCTTTCTGCGTGCGGCCGGCTGGTTCTCAGAAGGCGATGGCAGCTCGCCCTGGCTGAGGCTGGGCCCCGCTGGGCTGGCTCCCCATGGCCTGGGACAAGTGGAGGCTGGAACTGGAGGCTGGGCGCCGTGACCTGGAGCACTTCCTGACACAGCTCCCTGACGTGTGGCTCCCACTTGTGCCGGGCTGCTTTTGCGTGCTGCCCACGCAGGGGCGGGGTGGGCGGCTCCTTCCTGGTGGGGGGCCGCGACCCCCGCCTGGCCATGGAAGATGCCCCTTTCTGCAGCTGCCCCTGGGGCCCACACGTGGGGGTCGTTGGGCTCCTGAGGGAGCCACTGTCCCACGAGGCCACCCCCCTCAGCGGCACCAAGACCTGTTGCTGGGGTTCCGAACCCGGCCTCGTCCACGGGGTGCTCGGGGTGCCAGCCACCCCCTGGCAACAGTGGGGCGCGCCCCGCCACGCCGGCTGCACCTGCCATCTCCCTGGGGGCTTCGATGCTTGGTCTGGGTTGTTCATCCAAGGATGACAATGACGATGACAGTCTGCTCTGGCCAAAGTCAAGGCTGGCGTTTCCCTGGGCAACCTGCAGGGGCTGAGCCGACTGGGGCGGGCGCTGCTCTTGCCCGCGCGCGGCGTCCGAGCTGGAGCTCGCGGCAGAGTCCTCGGGCCCCGCGCGCCCCCCGGGTGGAGCCGCCCGCGACGTGGGGGCGCCGGTCAAACTGCTCCCGCCGGGAGACGGCGCGTGCGGGTGACCTCTCCGTGCTGTGGGGTCCTGTGACGAGGGGCCCTCGCTGGGTTTTGGGGTTCCGCGCGGCTCTGGCGAGAGGCGCACCGCATCACGGAGCCCAGACGCGCTCTCTGCCGAAACGTCCTTGGGATTTTCGGGACTATTTGGACTCTCGAAGCTGCGTCCGCTTTCCTGCCCGCCGGCAGGGTGTCTGGGGGGTCCCTGCGTCCTCCCAGCCGCGTCCGGGATGCTGCCCTGGGCGCCTGGAGCGGGTGCGGGGCTCGGCTCCGCCTGCGCCCCCTGCGCGGAAGGGGTCTGGGGTCCCACCGGGGTCCCGCAAGGCTCGCCCAGCTCCGCGGGGGCTCCATTCCCAGCTGCAGGGGGAGGCGCCGCGTGCGCGTGTCCGACTTGGGTCTCCCCTCCCCGGACGCGGGAGCGCGCGTCTCCGCCGGGCGGGGCGCTTTGCAGGGCGGCGGGAGCCGGCGGCATCTGGTGCACGAGCGGCCGCTGCACCGAGACCCGCGGGGACTCCGCCGCGGGCTGCGCTCGCCGGGCGGCCCGGACCGCGGGCGTGTGGAGTGGCGGGATGTGTCCCAGCCCGTTCTGTTCCGGGAAAAGATTCTGGGTGGCGAAGAAGGGGTCTCTGTCCGCGTCGGGCATCTCGTCCTCCGAGCTGCAAACCGCCATGGCGATTTCGGGGACCTCCCCGGCGCCCGCGCCCGGCAGCCCTGCAGGCCCAGCAGCTCTTGCGTCCCTCCCCGCCCCGGATCCGTCCGCGGCGCTTCCCGCTGTGGCGCCCACCGTCCTGGCGCCCCTTGGGCTGGCCGACCCCAGTGGGGACAGCGGGGACGGCTCGCACACGTGGCCAGAGAGCGCGCGGGAGTCCGGCGGTGCCGCGTCCGCAGCAGCGGGGCCGCCCCTCCCAGCCGTGTCCTGGGGCAGTTCTCTGGGCTCCCCCTGGAGGGGCCCCTCCCCGTGCGCCCCGTCCCCGCTGGGCTCCGCTCCCTGGGAGCCGCTGGGGCGCAGGCCGGCTTGTCCTCCGGGCTGGCGCCTCGCGCCCGCGTGGCTGATCTTGGAGCAGCGGGACAGCCAGCTCCTGGGGCCGCACACCACGGTGGCCAGGCTGAGCGCCGGCAGCGGCTCGGCCGTGCAGGCCAGGAAGCGCGCGGGGGGCGTCCTGACGCAGGAGCTGGCCATGGTGGCCGTGTGCAGCACCCGCACCTCGGGCCGGTGCATCTTCTTCCTCTGCAGGTTCCTCTTCTTCGCCTCCTCCCTGCGCAGCGGCAGCAGGCCGGCCTCGGAGCAGAGGCAGGCGCTCTGCTCGAACTTCTCGCGCAGCTTGGACAGCACCGCGCTCTTGCCCGTGACCTTGGGCAGGAGGCCCCTGGGGGCTCTGGGCCGCTCGGCCGGGGGCCTCTCGCGGGCCGCCTTCTCCTGGGCTTCCTTCTGCTCCGCGGCCAAGAACTTCTTCAGGATGTTTTTCACGGTGCTCTTGCCGGCGGGTGCGCTCCAGCGGGGCTTCTCGCCGCCGGGGAGGCCGCCCGCCCTCTCCTTGGTCCTGTCGAGGAGCTTGTCGATGGTGGCGCTCACCAGGCCGCCGCCGGGCCGGAGCCCGTCCCTGGGGATCAGCCTGCCCACCTCCCGCGTGCGCTTGAGGTGGGGCTCGCGGCCCGCGCCCAGGAACTTGGCCTGCAGGAGCTGGAAGCGCGTGGGCCTCCGGGCGGCCTCCTGGGACTCCGGCCGGCGGCGGCAGGGCCTGGGGTCCCCGGCGGCCGAGGGGGGCCCCTGCTCGCGGGCGGAGACGTAGAGCAGCAGGCTGCCCAGGATGGCGCGCGCGGCGGGGTCGCAGGCCGTGCGGTCGAGCTTCCTCGCCAGGGCGCGCGCGTCGATGGCGTCCACCGCCGTCCTCCCGCTGCTCATCCCGCCGCCGGCCGCGCTGCGGAGAGGAAAACGAGGCGTCAGGGGTCTCGCCAGCACGTCGCGGGACGCCCCTGCAGGACGTGTCCTGTGGGCGCCGGGAGTGGTAAGAACGTCCCCCCCCCCAGGCTAGCGGGGAGCAGGGGCGCAGCGCGACGTGGGAACCGGTCTGTGCCTGCCGGACCTCTGGGGTCGCCGCCACCTGGCGTTAGAAGCCGCATGCAAGCGTCCTCTACAGAAGCTGCAACCAGGAGGTGAGGGCACCTCTGTCCCCATGACCTCTGCCCTGCGCACAGACAGCACACGGCGAGAGAGCAGTGGCCGCCTGACCCACCCCGTGACTGGGACACACGGAGGATCCCGCCTTTCTGGGGTGAGGACCCCCAGCTCACTAGGTGGACGCTCGACTCGGTTTCCTCAGACCCCGGGACCCCCGTCCTGCTCAGGCAGCAAGTTCCCGCAGAAGGGGCCCGTTTTAGTCCTCCTCAAACATCGGGACGTGGGAACAGCCGGAGCACTTGGTAAAACCTGGACTGAGGGAGTAGCACCCGCATTTCTGTTCCTGCCGTCTTGGGGGGCTGGAAATCTGCATTTCTAATATCCTCCTCCCTCCCTGCCAACCACTGCGCTGGACAGATTGGCAAACCTCGGACGGCTGCGCACTCACGGGACCAGCGGGCTGGGTCAGACACTCAAACACAAAAACTGAAACCTGAACAGGCTCGGAAGCCACTGGGTGCCGCGGGCTGAGCCGTCTTGCAAACAAACGCTTCTGAGGAGCAGTCGTGTGCTGAGCCGGGGAAGGCAACTCCCCGGAGAGATCCGTGCCCCCCTGGAGGGGCCACTCTGTGTCCTCCCAGCTGGTAAACCGCCCCCACACTCCTGGGCCTGGAGCGGACACACACACCCTTGACCGGTGTTCGGGGTGGAGGAGCTGGAGGAGGGGCCGACCTCTGCCACGGGACCAGCCCTGTCAGCCCCGTCTCCCAGCGGCGGCTCTGCACGTGTGGTCAGCTCACCCAGGGTTTTTTTTTTTTCTTTCTTTCAAGACAAGAGTCTCACTCTGTTGCCCAGGCTAGAGTGAGTGCCGTGGTGTCAGCCCAGCTCACAGCAACCTCAAACTCCTGGGCTCAAGCGATCCTCCTGCCTCAGCCTTCCGAGTAGCTGGGACTACAGGCGTGCGCCACCATGCCCGGCTAATTTTTTCTACATATTTTTAGTTTTTTGGCTAATTTCTTTCTATTTTTAGTAGAGACGAGGGTCTTGCTCAGAGCTGGTCTCGAACTCCTGAGCTCAAGCGATCCTCCCGCCTCGGCCTCCCAGAGTGCTAGGATTACAGGTGTGAGCCACCGCGCCCGGCCCACTCAGGTGTTTTGTGGCCGTGGTGAAAGCGAGTGGCATGCTGGGGTGCCAGGGACAGCTGTGCCCACATCGGAGCCACCACCGACGGGAGCTCTGTGTCACAGCCCTGGGTCCCCAGTCTGGGGACACCTGGACTGCCAGCCAGCACCATTATATTCCTGGGGGCACATGTGATGTGGCATCTTTCAGTTGGTGGCCACCAAGGTGTGGCGTCTCAGGCTGCCCCGGTAGCTGCCCAGGCCTGAGTCAGGGCCGACGCCGGGGCTCACAGGCGCGATGCCTGCCACGGCACCCGGCAAGTCCCTCCTCCTGCCGTCCCCCACCCTGTGTGTCACCTCCACCCACCAGCTCGGCAGCCACAGGCATGCCCAGAGCCACTCAGCCTGCAGCCCCGGCTTTGGCACGGACTTCCCGGGCCCAGCCATGCTTGCCTGCATGCCACGCTGCTCCACTTGGACCGGCTTCCCACTGCTGTTAGAATAGGACGGCCACGGAGGCCACCCGTGACACTTCCCGTGGTCTGAGTCCTCAGCTGCCTGCACGCCGTCCGCCCACACCCAGATCCTACCGGGGGGTGGAGACACACGGCAGAGAGGGCGGGTTGGGTCGGCACCCACTGTGGTCTCAGCGCAGGGCGGCCATCAGACCATGGTGTGGACACCTTGTGGCCAAGGACGTGTTTTCCATGCAGGGAGTGGGGCGGCCTCACCTGGTCCAGGTGGCAGCGAGGCCCCAAGCCCCACAGTCCCTCGGAGCTTCCAAACCTGCCCCATTGGTCACTGCTTGTCCCCTGCTCATTGTCACTGCCTGTCCCCTGCTCATTGTCACTGTCTGTCCCCTGTTCATTGTCACTGCCTGTCCCCTAGGCCTTGGTCACTGCCTGTCCCCTGCTCCTGGTCACTTGCCTGTTCCCTGGGCCTTGGTCACTGCCTGTCCCTGCTCCTGGTCACTGCCTATCCCCTAGGCCTTGGTCACTGCCTGTCCCTGCTCCTGGTCACTGCCTATCCCCTAGGCCTTGGTCACTGCCTGTCCCCCAGGCCCTGGTCACTGCCTGTCCCCTGACTGTGGCCACTGCCTGTCCCCAGGCCCTGGTCACTGCCTGTCCCCTGACTGTGGTCACTGCCTGTCCCTGCCGGCTGGGCTATTTCAATCATCCTAATGCCTTTGCAGGTGAGTCACTTGGCTGACTGCACTGCTTTGGGGACATTCTGATCTCCTGAATAAAGGTGTCCAGGCTCAGTCACATGTGACGGGGGACCTGCCACTCTCCACCTTCCTGCTGGTGGCCTGTGGGCCCCACGGTCGGGACAGGAAGATGGAAACTGAGCTGGGGTTCAGTCCCCACACCCCAGCAGGGGTGTCAGGAGGGGAAGGAGATTAAATGCAGCTCTGCCCCGACTTTGAAAGGCCCCACGCCTGCAGCCTCAGGTTGGGGGCGTCCCGGCCGCGGCAAGACCCCCCTCCTACCCCTCTCCAAGCCCCGGCCTTGGCCCCGCCCCCAGCGGCCACGCCGGGCTGGCCTTGCCTGCGTCCTCCTCACCTTGCCAAGTGGTGGCGGATCCAAACCTAGCTCTGCTGCCCGGGCTGAGCGGCCCGTCTGAGTCACCTTCAGCTCTGTTAACTGGTGACAAGTCTGGGGTGTCACCAAGACATTGCGGAGCCACCGAGATTAGGCCGTGGGGCTGCCCGACGGCTCCGCCCAGCCCCGGCTCACACAACGGCTTGTACCCTCCCGCCTCTGCAGAGCCCCTGACCGCGGCGCGGGACGCTGGGCCGGGCTCCCCAACGCTGTCTTGACGCTGTCTTCGCGAGAAGGGTCTCTAGGGAGCTGCGGCGGAGGGCGGCGTCTGCAGAGGGGCCACTGGGATGACAGGTTTCACAGCCTCCTGCAGCGAGTCCTTTGTGTTGACAGTCACTGTTCACCAGAGTTCCTCCCTGGTTCCTCCCTGGCCTGCGCACACCCTGCACGTCTAGGTCCTCACGCCACTCACGCTGCTGGCCACATGTCCGCCCTCCCGCCCAGCCCGCCAGGTCGCCAGGCCCTGGAGGACCCCAGCGGCGCTGGCCCTCTTTTGGCTGCTTGAGCCTGCCTGGCGCACGCCTGCCTCAGGGCCTTTGCACGAGCCGTTGCCAGGCTCGGCACATTCACTGGGTGCCTCCAGGCAGGCCAGCGGCCCCTCTGAGGGCCCTTCCTGAGCCCACCGCCCACCTCGGCTCCCGGGACATCGCCCGGGGTGACTTTGTCACAGCACTCACACTTTCTGAGATTCCGGTGGCATTTCAAGCATGTCATTTCTATTTTTGTCCGGCTCCTGCAGTGGAACAAAGGCCCTGGGCAGGCGGCGCTTGCCCCGCTCCCCACTTTGCCAATAGCGCCCGGCTTGCACACGCAGCAGAGAGAGCCGGCCCCAGATGCCTGCCTGTTTGGACCTGGGTTCGCCTGCTCCGGGCTGTGCGCAAGCCCCGCCCCTCCCAGTGCGCAGTCCCTGCGGCCCTGCGGCCCTGCGGCCCTGCGGCCCTGCGGCCCTGTGGCCGCCCTTCCTGCCAGCTCCAGCCCCCAGCCTTCTCCCAGCTCCGCCACGCTGTGCCCTGCCGGGAGGACCACACTCCCCCAGGCAGGCTCCAACCCCGACGCCCTGTGCAGGTGACCGCACGCAGACCTCTCCTCGGCCCCTCAGGGGTCACGGTGCAACCTCAGCACCCCCTGGACGTGGTCCTCTTACTACCCCCTGACCTGGAGCACACTCGGAGATCATCGCGCAGGGCGTGAGAGTCCGGACGGCTGCGTCCCAAAGCTCCCTGCAGAGCCCGGCCAGGTCCACGCTCCCCGTGTGGCCGCCGGCAGCGCTGGGCGGCTGCAGAGACGGGCTGGGATGCAGCCGAGTGTCCTCCTGAGGGGCCCGTCCCTACAGCAGGGCGTGGCAGACGTCCCCACCGAGTCCTGGCAGGGACTCTGGCAGGCCACAAGGTCACTTGAAAATGCAAGGAGGCCGGGTGCGGTGGCTCACGCCTATAATCCTAGCACTCTGGGAGGCTGAGGCAGGCGGATTGCTCAAGGTCCGGAGTTCGAAACCAGCCTGAGCAAGAGTGAGACTCCGTCTCTACTATAAATAGAAAGAAGTTCATTGGCCAACTAATACATATAAAAAAATTAGCCGGGGCATGTGGTCCTGCTGTAGTCCCAGCTACTCGGGAGGTAGGAGCAGGAGATTGCTTGAGCCCAGAGTTTGAGGTTGGCTGTGAGCCTAACGCTGGACGCCAGGCAACTCAACTCATCCCTGGGACAAAAGTGAGACCAGTCTCAAAAAAAGAAAAAAAAATGCAAGGAGGCTGGGTGGAGTGGCTCATGCCCGTAACCCTGCCTCTGAGACGCCGGAGGGTGGCGGATTGCTCAAGGTCAGGAGTTCTAAACCAGCCTGATCAAGAGAGAGACCCCGTCTCTACTAAAGATAGAAAGAAATTAGCTGGACAACAAAAAAAATTTGTAAAAAATTAGCCGGGCATGGTGGTGCATGCCTGTAGTTCCAGTTACCTGGGAGGCTGAGGCAGGAGGATTGCTGGCCCCCCAAGAGTTTGAGGTTGCTGGAGCTAGGCTGATGCCACGGCACATCACTCTAGCCTGGGCAACAAAGCAAGACTCAGTGTCTCAAAAAAAAAAAAAAAGAAAAGATAAGGATCAAGCCGGTAGACCAAGCCTCCCACAGGGGAGACACCCAGGCCCGGTCCCGGGCGCCCTTGGATTACCTCCATGGGACAAGCAGAGGGCCACCTTCGCTCTCCTGGTGGTTGGCCGTGCTGGGCTCCCCTGAGCCTGTCTGGGCCCCTGTGCCCCAGGCAGGCGGTGCCCCTCACCCTGTCCTCCCCGGAGCAGGGGTGGGGCCCCAAATGAACCCAGGGCGGGCTCCGAGACTGCCCACCTGTGCCAGGTGCCTCCTCGGAACACCCGGCCTCAGCCAGGTCCCCAGGGCCGCCGACCCTCCACGGCCCCCCGGGTGGGGCGCTCGGAGGCCCCTGGCCAGTGGTGCTCTATGAGCCACAGCCCGGTCTTGCTGATGCCATTTCCCATCCGGGGGACCTCGAGGTGTGGGACAGACCCCAGGCGTGACCCCATATCTGCTTCCAGGATTGTTTTAGGTGATTATTGTGTTGATGTTCCCGCCACAGCACGCCAGGATGCAGAGCACAGAGCGGCCGGCTCCCCTCACTGCACCATCTTCCCAGCGCACGGAACGTGTCGAGGGACCAGCACATTGTGATCTGTGACTGCTCGCTCCTGGGCCGGCTCCCCACAAAGCCGTGAAAGCCAGGCAGGGCCCCCCCGCCCACCCTTCTACTCCCCAAGTTGCGCCAGCCCCGGGCGACACCCTGGAGCAGGTCGGTTCACAGGTGGAGCCCGGGCAGCTGGTCCTGGGTTCCACAGGGGCCTCACTGGTCAGTCTGGAGGGACAGTGCCCTGTGAGGACACAGGTCCCAGGGCCGGGGCCTGCCCACGACTCGGTCCCCAGCCAGGGTGGCTCTGGGGAGGTTTTTGTAAAACACCTTCAACAGCCGACGCCCATGGCCCGACTGCTCTCCCAGAGAGCACAGTGGCCTCGCTTGGTGTCAGCGACCTGGGTGACGTCACCGAGTGGGCATTTGCCAAATTGCTGCCATAAAAAGAGAAGTGATCAGGGTTCTTCAGTTGCTTTTAAAAATAAGATAGGTTGTAAATGACATAGGCCCTTTAAGCTGAGGCTGCCAACATCTCACAAATAAATCTAACGTTAGATTTATGAATAAGAAAGCTCTCACAGCAGGAGGGGAAATTCCTTTCTAAAAGCCCAGGCGGCCAGGGCCAAGCAGGGATCTGGGAGTGGCCGCAGTGAGTCAGCCCACTGTGACCTCCACAGCGTGAGCTGCTACGGCCAATTTTGATACTGACTCTTTTTCATCATTTGTAAGCGTCATTGTAATAGTGGCTATTTATCTAGTAAAGCCAAAAACAAATGTTTGCTAACAGTTCTCTATAATTTTTCTTTGGGTAACCAGGTACCTAATAGTTGAAACTGTACTACTGAATAAGCCAGAGAACTTGAATATCTGTGTTTTCCTGGAAATAAATGTGGATACAGACTGATAGGCAGCCTTCTGGCTACAATACGCAGGGTCTTGCACCCAAACATCATGAGTGACTATAGCTGTGACTGAAAGACGGCTGTCTTGTCAACCCATGTGTGGCTGACAGAGGGTGTCTAGTCAACTGCTGTGACTGACAGAGGGTGTCCAGTCAACTGCTGTGACTGACAGAGGGTGTCCAGGCAACTGTTGTGACTGACAGAGGGTGTCCAGTCAACTGCTGTGACTGACAGAGGGTGTCCTGTCAACTGCTGTGACTGACAGAGGGTGTCCAGGCAACTGCTGTGACTGACAGAGGGTGTCCAGGCAACTGCTGTGACTGACAGAGGGTGTCCAGGCAACTGCTGTGACTGACAGAGGGTGTCCAGGCAACTGCTGTGACTGGCAGAGGGTGTCCAGGCAACTGCTGTGACTGGCAGAGGGTGTCCAGTCAACTGCTGTGACTGACAGAGGGTGTCCAGTCAACTCCTGTGACTGACAGAGGGTGTCTAGTCAACTGGCTGTGACTGACAGAGGGTGTCCAGGCAACTGCTGTGACTGACAGAGGGTGTCCAGGCAACTGCTGTGACTGACAGAGGGTGTCCAGTCAACTCCTGTGACTGACAGAGGGTGTCTAATCAACTGCTGTGACTGACAGAGGGTGTCCAGTCAACTGTTGTGACTGACAGAGGGTGTCTAATCAACTGAGTATGACTGACAGAGGGTGTCCAGTCAACTGTTGTGACTGACAGAGGGTGTCTAGTCAACTGGCTGTGACTGAAGCCATAAGAACTGGAAGCTCTTCCAGGACCGAGACGTGAACAGGCAGAGAGTTCTGGGAGACACTGCCCTGACGCCTAGTTACAGGCACTGCCTCAGGCCTCACTTGCTGCCTGTGGTTGGTGGTCCGGCTTGAGGTCGTGTGGGGCAGTGGGTTAGTGAGCTTCTGTGATGAATTTGTGGTATAAAGAAATAGATTAAGCAGCACACTGATGAAAGAATTGGCAAAATTTATACTGTGTGATATAAACTATCATATAGCATATGATATTATGATAGAATGCTATTATGTTTGATTATAGCATTATCGAACGTTAAGTTCCCCAACTTTGAAAAAGCATACAGTAGTTACGTAAGTATGTTCTTGTCTGAGGAAATACATCTGAAATATTTATGGTGAAAATATGAAAGGTTGGCAGGTCATTCTCAAATGGCTGAGAAAAGATGTGCCTGCGTGTGTGTTCGTGTGTGCACGTGTTTGTGTGTAGTGAGAGAGTGCACATGTGTGTAGTGAGAGTGTGTATGCACATGTGTGTAGTGAGAGTGTGCACATGTGTACGTGTGTAGAGTGTGCATGTGTATACGTGTGTGTAGTGAGTATGCACGCATTTGTGTGTGTAGTGAGAGTGTGCACATGTGTGTGTATGTGAGTATAGTGAGAGTGCATGCACATGTGTATGTGTGTGTAGTGAGAGTATGTGCTCATGTATGTCCTTGTGTGTAGTGAGAGTGTGTAGGTGTGTACATGTGTGTGTAGTGAGAGTGTGCACGTCTGTATGTGTGTGCACATGTACGTGTGTGTAGTGAGAGTATGTGTGCACGTGTGTGTGTGTGTGTGTGTACATGTATGTGTAGTGAGAGAGAGAAAGAAGACAGTGGGGCCCAAGAGCGACGGTTGGTGAGGTTGGGCGAAGGGAATATGAGAGCTGTCTGGGCTATCTCTGTGAATTTGCTGTCTGTTTGAAAGCACTTAAGAAGAAACAATGGATGGGAAAGGCAGAAGGCAAAGCCACGGAGTGACAGCTGGCACCCCGGTCCCTGACGGCAGACTAGCCGGGCGGGCGGTGGCGTCCCGTGACTCCTGGGGGTGCCCCGAGCTCGCTGGGCCTCCCTGGTGTGTGGGCAAGAGGAGGCCGTCCCCACATGTCCCTGCTGGCACCACGGGGTCCCCAGGCTGGGAGGCCTGTCCTGCCAGGGCGAGGTGCCACCCAAGGCCGGCGCTGGCCTATGACCCTGGGGAGCATTTCCCGTGGCCCCAGCCCCACACGTGGCGTGCCCGCAGGCCGGCCGAGCATCTCTCTGAGCGCTGAGCTCCGTGCTGAGCGGCAGGCTCTGCTCAGAGGGCGGCGAGCGGGGCACCTGTGGTTTCAGGGGGTCATTTGTCCCTGTACTCCTGGATGCCTGTGATTTACTCCTTCGCATCAACTGGACATGGGTCGACACGTCGGGGATTTGGGCCAGAGGAGCTGCAGGCCTGCGCGTTACTTAGTTATTTCAGGCCGGGCGTGGTGCCTCACGCCTGTAATCCTAGCACTCTGGGAGGCTGAGGAGGGCAGATTGCTCATGGTCTGGAGTTCAAAACCAGCCTGAGCAAGAGAGACCCCGTCTCTACTAAGAAATAGAAGAAATTAATTGACCCCTACTGAAATATTATAAGAATATACAGGCACATGCCTGTAGTCCCAGCTACTCGGGAGGCTGAGTGCAGGGGATCTGTTAAGCCCACGAGTTGAGGTTGCTGTGAGCTGGCTGACGCCACGGCACTCACTCTTAGCCTGGGCAACATGAGTGAGATCTGTCTCAAAAAAAAAAATTATTCCAGTTAAAGGACTCTCAGAATGATTTTTAAATATGGGCTTTTAGAGCGCAGACATTCGGAGCGGACGTCAATTTGGGCACTGCTGGTGTTGCCAGCTGACATCTGATTTCCTCGTCTGCGAAGTGCGGGTGGTGGATGATGGCCACCTCGTAACGGTGGGAAACACCTCACGCTCAGATCACGGCCGCCGGTGCTGCGGCGGGGAGGGAAGTGGGCGCTCGAGTGGCTCCTCGATCTTACTGTTCTTAGATCTGGCTGGGCCACTGCATCTCGTCAGACCTGTGATGGGTGCGTCCTGCCTGGTCACCCCCAGGGCTGCTCACTCTAACAACCGTCAGAAAGGAACGACCACCCCTGCCAGACCCACCTCTCACCTGGCTTTCAGATACAAAAATGCTGGTGAAACGATTCACAATATAAACCCAGTCTCTTAACCAAAGACTTTGGGAAAACAAATCAATCTAGTCAGCCTGAAGTCTAACAGCTCATGTCTTGCTAACACGCCCCCCCACAGACGGGATGTGTGTTCTTAGCGTGTGACTCCTGTGGGGACGTCCTTGACAGCCCTGCCCCAGGACAGGGCCCAGGTGCATTTGGGGACACAGTGCTGCCAGAGTCCAGCTCTCCTGACGGGCACAAGCTTTCTCAGCGGCAACTGGGGTTCTCCGTCCCTGAGTCTCGAGACCACTGGAGGACGGAGGCTTTGCCTACAGACGTGGGCAGAGCACGGGGGAGGTGAGGCGGTGGGCCACTGTCCTAGGCCCACACCTTGCCTCTGAGGCACTGTCTGACGCCATGCGAGTGCACGACCCACACGGGACACTCCACGCTGTGCTCCTGGGGACAAGACTTCATACAGAGTCCACCCTCCTCGCCTCAGGCTACTTGGCTGTAAGATGCCCCCGATCTCATGTGTCTCAGAGAAAAAGAAAAAACTCCCACCAATTAAACCATGAAACACAAATACCAGAATGCTGCGGGCGCAGGGATCACGCCTGTCATCACAGCATCTGGCGTGGACGCTCGAGGTTAGGAAGTTCGAGACCCAGCCTGAGCAAGAGCAAGAACCCCATATCACTAAAATAGGGAGAATTTGGCCAGGCAACTAAAATATAAAAAAAAAATAGCCGGCACGGTGACGCGGCACCTGTAGAATCCAGGACTTGGGAAGGATGAGGCAGAAGGAACGCTTGAGCCCGGAGATTGAGGTTGCTGTGAGCAGGCGAACTACGGCACTCACCCAGCCTGGCGACAGAGTTCAAATTTCCCTGTCTCAAAAAAAAAAAAAAAAAAAAAAGAATACAGGATGCCCCAGAATCTCAGAAATATTAAACATAGAAAAATGCATCCTAGATGAATCTGTGACATCACTGTGCTATCAGTGGGATGATTTCTTTTTAGAAGGGACGTAGAGGCAGCATTTGAAAGTGACCACACAGGACAGTGTTTTTAAAATGCCACTTAGGACATGGAGACCGCTCACAGCTGCGTCAGGGGTCACACGCGTTCTGAGAGGACACTGGCAACCGCTCAAAGACCGAGAGGGCATGCATGAGATACAGACAGACATGAAAATCCCACTGTGGTGGGAAAAGCCAAAGCAAGCCGCTGCATCCGTGGGAAGAGACTTGTGTGTCCCACACGCACGCGTGTCCTGTCCCGGGGGCACTCACGCACACGCACGACCCCGACTGTGTGTGCAAGGGGGTTTCCGGAAGGAAGCGTGGGGGTGCCTGGCGTCCCTGGGCTGGCGCTGTGAGTTGGGGGACTGGGAGCCGCTCCCCACTCGGCACCACGCGTGCGCGGCGTTTGCATGTCAGAGGCTGTGTGCACACGTCACTTTCACAACAAAAGTGAAACCAGCACGTGTTAAGTCATTAGAGATCAGAGCAGCGATAGCAGCCGCCTCAGTACCTCCTGTCGTGCTTTCCTTTTCAGCTTTTGCATTTCTCTGTAGTAGGAAAATGGAGCAACTGGCGAGACCTTTCACTTTGATGAGCCTGTGGATTTGGCTTTAGTCCATGTATTTTTCGTTTTTTTTTTTTTTTTTAGACATAGTTTCACTTTGTTGCCCGTGATGTCAGCCTACTCACAGCAACCTCAAACTCCTGGGCTCAAGCAATCCTCCTGCCCTCAGCCTCCCGAGTAGCTACAGGCATGCGCCACCATGCCTGGCTAATTTTTCTATATATTTTTAGCTGGCCAATTAATTTTTTCTATGTTTGATAGAGACGGGGTCTCACTCTTGCTCAGGCTGGTCTCGAACTCCTGAGCTCAAGTGACCCTCCCGCCTTGGCCTTCCAGGGTGTAGCTCATGTATTTTAATCTATGATCAACTTGTGGAGAGCCTCACTTTCTGATTCCCTGGAGGGATTTAATTCTCTGAACTCATCAGGGAGACGGAGCCGCCCTACACCTGTGAGCCCAGCCTTCCCTCCCGCACGGGTAAGGCGCTTTCGGGGCGCGCGGCGCCTCAAGGCCCCGGCTACTGCGTCACGCGTGCTGCGCTGTGAGCGGACTTACCTTGGCTGGTTCTCCTGAAAGGCAATTCTCAGTTAACCGCTCCCACCGCTCTGGGAGGGCCTCCTGCGGTGGGCCGGCCTCGTGCCGGGGGCGGACCACGTGCCGGGGGCGGGCCTCCGCCAGGTGTCTGCCTGGGTCTTTGGGCTGGAAAGCATCGCTAGCCGTGCGCATTCGCTCAGTTATCGGGAGACGCGTCGCTGCAGCCCGCGCGGTGCGGAATGACCGCAGACCCTCCCCGGACGCGGCTCTACGCTTCCTACACAGCAGGAGCCCGACACCTGTGCTGAGACAGGGACCCCGCGCGCGCGGCGGCCGCCAAGCTGCCAAGCGCCGTGTTAGGCGTCAGCCTCAGCGGCTGTTTTACTCACACCAGATGCTACGTGAGACATCCGAGTCTAGGTTTATTTCAAACAACAAGAGCAAGTGTGCGCTGCCTGGCGGTTCAGAGACGGGGACCTCGAGAGCCGGGACGCGGAGGGGGCAGGGTGGGAGGCTTCTCCGCCGCGGACCTGCCCGGGGAGGCTGCGGACCGGACCCACAGGACGCAGCGCGAGGCCGGGCGGCTGTCGCTCCAGAGGAGGCTGAGCTCAGCGATCTGGTGTGACTAAACGCCGGGCTGGGCGGGTAGGGCAGGGCGCTGGCCGCGCGGGCAGGCGTGGGAGTGGGCTGCCCCGGTCGCAAGGACGCAGCGGGGCCTGTTAGTGCTGCGGGCGCGCGAGCGGACGGACGTGTTAGTTCCGGGACGGACAGAGCTCGCAGCGTCCCGGCGACAGTCGGTGACCGCGGGCGAGGGCCAAGGCGGGCTCCCGGCAGCAGCGCGGTGCGCGGCTTTACTTCTCCTCGGTGGACAGGCGGTGCAGGGCCGCGCCCAGGGCCTCCAGCGTCTCCCGGTGCTGCAGCTCGCGGTACAGGCCGCTGGGGACGGCGTCCAGGCCGTACAGCAGTCCGAACAGGCAGCCCGCGATGGCGCCCGTGGCCGCGCTCTCTCCTGCAACGGCAGACCCCGGCGTGGGACGGGCGGACGCGGCTCCGCTCCTCTCCCGGCCCAAGCCAACGGGGGCGCCGCCCCCTCCCACCGAGCCCCGGTTCTGCTCTGGGGGCCGACACGGGGCACGGGCGTCCCCTGCTCCCTCGCTGAGGTCCGGCCGCCCCCAGCCAGCGACACTCCAGACACTCCGGGGCGGTGCAAAGGCCCCGTGGCTGCCTCCGACCAGTCCTTGTGGGGAAGCCCCCACCCCAAGGGCTGGGCCGCTGCGCAGGGACCCCGGGTGACAGCTGTCACCCGCCCCTCGCTACCGCAACTAGCCGGCGGTCGTGGCGTCCCGTGACCCCTGGGGCGTGCCCCGAGTACCTCGCGGGCCTCCCTGGCTCTGGGCAAGAGGAGCGTCGCCCACATGTCCCGCTGGCACCTCCCACGGGTCCCCAGGCCTGGAGGCCTGTCCGCAAGGGCAGGTGACCACCCAAGGGCCGGCGGGCCTATACCCTGCGGGAGCATCTCCCTGGCCCAGGCCCCACCACTCGGCCCTAGGCCGGTCCCGAGCATTCGCTCTGACGCGCGACCCGTGCTGAGCGGCAGGCTTGCCTCAGAGGCGCGAGCGGCGGCCACCGCGGTGGCGTTTCAGGCATTTTTACACCCTTGTGACGCTGCGGGCCTGTGACTACGCCCTTCGCATCAACTGGACATGGGTCGACACCGAGTCGGGGATTGGCCAAGAGGAGCGCCATGCCTGCCACGCTTCACTTACAGTCGACGTCTCCCCGCCGCGGCACACTCACAGGCCCGGTGCCGCTCAGCGCCTCCGTAACCTTTGCACTGCCTAGGGCATCTCGCGCACTCCCCCGACGGGCCCGCGCCGACCTGCCATGCGGTCCGCAGAGTTCGAGAACACCCAGCTCCCGACAAGACAGCGACACCCGCCCGGCTCTACTCAAAAATCTCACCGAAGACGAATAATAGACATCACCATTCCTCGAAAACTACAACTCCTATCTGCACGAACCACAGCACGCGCGCGCACTCGGCCGTCGCTGCCTGTATCCCAGCTACGCGGTACAAGCGCCTGTCGCTCCGGGCGCGCAGCGCGAGCCATTCGTTACCGGCACGCGCACCGCACGAGTTTTACGCAGGCGGTGCCGAAGCTAAACCCTCCCGACGAACCTACGGCACTCACTCTAGCCTGGGCAACAGAGTGAGCCTGCTCAAAAAAAAAAAAAACAACAACAGAGTTACTTCTTCCAGTAACAGGCTTCCAGGACCATCGGATTTAATGAACTGGGCCTTTCTAGACGCGGCACACGACATTCCGCGCACGCGCGCCTCGCGCTCCTTGGCCACGGCTGGTGTGCCAGCTGACATCTTGAATTTCCTCGGAGTCCGCTCGGCGAAACCTGCGGTGTGATGGGTCGCTAGCCATCCGAAGGGAAAGAACAGGGTACGGCGTGAACACCTCACGCTCAGATCCACGCGGCCGCTGGCACCCGCCCAGGGCCACACCTTCCTTTTTTGGAAATAATCCAGACCTCCGGATTTCTCACTAGCATCCTGGTAGAAACACAGCCGCTGAGAGAGCGCGCAACGACCGCGGGAGGGAAGTGGGCCGCGTCCGAGGGGCACCGCTTGGCGCCCTCCTTCGCTCTACTGCGTGCTCTTCTGTCGCATCACAGGGTGGGCCCACGGCGCCATCCTCGTCAGTAACCTGGTAGATCGGTATAGGCGCCCGTCCCTCGGCTAGCACCGTCCTGCGCGTCCCTTCCGCACCGGCCCCATCGCAGCGACGCGCTCGCCGCATAACCTCGCGACTCACGCACGCGTTGCATCGTTCCACCCCAAATGAGCCCAACACGCAGTCTAACAGCGACCGTCATAAAGGAAACGACACCCCTGCCCGACCCACCTCATCACCCTGCTTTCAGACTACAAAAATGCATGCTGAAACCCTACGCTAGCCACCACACACAGCACGAACACCCCCACCCGATCCACTTAACCCCGCAACACACCACTTGGAAAACAATCAATCAGTCAAGCCTCGCCATCTCACACAACAGCGTGTCTGGAACCGCCAGGACCCCACTCACCCCACAGCGAGCACTTGTGGTCGTCTTTTAGAACTGCATTAAAGTCGCGGCCTTCCTAGGAGAGGAGCACACGCTCAACGCGGTATAGACAGCCCGCTCCCTCACGCCCCCAGGAACACAGCGGGCGCCAACGAGATCTGCCCGTTAGTCGACATCACAGTGCTCTGCCCAGTAGAGTCCAGCCTCCCTCGACCGGCACAAGCTTCTCCCAGGCGCGGCCCAACTGGGTTCTCCGTCCCAGGCACAGAGCACCTCACCCATCCGTAGAGTGGAACTGCGGAGCCTCAGGCAGCGACCTACCAGACTCGGCAGAGCACGCTCTCCCTGAGGGAGATTGCGAAGAAAGGCAAAATCCCTCGCAGGAAACAGACACAGCGATGGCTCTCGCCACAATGACCATCCAGCTATCAAAGCACCTCGACCCACCCCTGCCGGACCAATGCCCAGCGACCGACGGCACATTCTGAGCACGGGACACCCGTACCACGCTGTGCTCCTGGGAAACGACTCGTACCTAACACAAGCCCGGATCACCCACTCACCTCTCTAGCACCCAGCGAGGAGACACTTGGCGAAAGATTCCACTTCGGGACATACCAATATACAAAAAGAGTGTACCCAGAGAAAAAAATAACCACAACCCCACCTAATTGGACCCCATGACCAACACCACAATCTGAAGGCAACGAATGCCTAGGCAGGGACCGATTGGCGCGACGCCCGGAGTGGCTACACGTCTGTCATGCCCAACTAGGCTGACACTCCTGGGCAAGCAAGACCCTAGAAACCTAGCTGGCAGTTCGCGAAAATCGCAAAGAGATACCACTGCAGAGAAACACAAACTTAACAAGAGCCAAACCCCAACCCACCACTCCATCCCATCCACAAAATAAAGGCAAGCAAAGCTTCAGGGCCAGGCAATCCTACATAACTACACCATAAACAACAAACAAAATAGCAGAGAGCACACACGGGAGGCGCATGCCTAGTAGTACGCTCGAGCGTACTTCTCTGCCGAGGCTGACGTCGTACTCAGATTGCGCTTATAGACGCGACCCAGGTAGCATTTGATGTGCACTGTTTTGCAGTAGGCTATGGCAAAGACACTGACCGCACGTGCACCGCCCCTTAACGACACTGGGTGCAAACAGCATCAGACTTCCTTCTTCAAAAAAAAAAAAAAAAAAAAAAAAAAAGGAAACAGCCGACGCCCCACAACATCC